ATTTCATTGAGGGCTCTTTACAGCTCTTGTAATACTCCATGCATCAGTTGTATCCAGCATATTTGTATATGGTACCGTCATTTTTTCCTAGACATTTACTTTCTATTGAGCCCTTGGTATCAGCCCCCCCACCCATGAGCCCTTGATAAATCATAAATTATTATTATCTTCATATCGTATACCAGCTGCTGTCTCCCTTGCCCCACAGCTTCTGTTGTTCGTGCCCTTGGGGGAGGGCGGTTATGTGTGGATCACATCGTCAAGATTGATTCCCCTCTCCTCCCCTCCTCTCCCCACCTTCCTCCCCTGCCCTCCTGGCATCGCTGTTCCCATTTCTGTCCTGGATTCCGTGTGTCGTGAGCTCTTCTTTCTCACCTGTACCTGTGCACACTCTCCGGTCTAGCCCACTGTGAAAGGCGGGACTGGGGTCATGACAGTGGGGGGTGAGGAAGCCGCAAGGAACCAGAGGAACATTGTGTGTTTCATTGGTGCTTTACAGCACCCTGCATGACGCATCCCTCCCCTGTGGCCCCTCTGTGAGGGGATGTCCTGTTGTCTGTGATGGGCTTTGGGTCTCTGCTCTGATTCCCCCTCCTTGTCAGTAAAGGGTCTTTTCGTTGATTTGTTTGTTTGGGGTCTTCGGATGCCTGTTACACATGGTCCAGGTGACCCCAGCCTGTGTTTTGACTAGGGCTGGCCCGCAGGAGTTTATGAATTAGAATGGCGCTTTTAGGAAAAATTGTAGTTTGTTGCCCTCAGTCCCTTCCCGAAACAAGATTATTTGAAGGTTCTAAGTTGCTCCACCAGACAACAGAATTAACCCTAATTTCACCCTGTTGTGCTGAATGAGGGCAGCCAGGGTTGCCTCAGCAAGAGCACCATGGTGATATGTGGTGTGAGAGGCAGCTGCGGAGCTTTTAGCACTTAGCATACTGGGGCTGGCTTTGCCTCTGCCTTCCTCCTCTCTTAAAAAAAAAAAAATCATATGCTGCTTTTAAAAGTAGAGGGAAGAATGACTGATTTCCTGTTAACTCAGCAAATTAAGGTTTGAGCCATCTTTTAGATCATTTTGGCCTTGAAGGGATCCTTAGCATTTTGTAGATCATTTCAGCCTCAGTAATGTGGTCTCTGCCACCATAGCCTTTGGTTCCATCTTGCGAACTTTAGAGGAAGGCTGGCTGCGCATGCGTCCATTGGTTTTAGAAAAGACAACTTTCCACCAGTGCTTGAAGGCGGGGCTTGATGTTGCACTGGTGTCCACCGTTGCCTTTGCAGTTCTCAGCCCCTTCGGCTACGTTGCGTGCTCCTGGTTTCCAGATTCCATGTCCCTTTGCTGCCCAGAACCTGGATGCCAAGGCCGCCACCTGGCATGGGAAATAGCTACCTTTTGGTTGCCAGATTGTTCCTTTGCCACACATTTTTAAAAAATTAAAAAATATACTTTTTCGTTCTCAGCTCCTCCTGGTTTTATGGCTTCCCACCCCTGCTCTCCCACCTTCTGACTGTGTGACAGGGTGGGCTATTTGGTGCTGGCTTTACTGTCGATGACAAATTCTACATCTAGATTAGCATTCTTCAAGGCTATCAAAAACTCATTGTGGAAAACGATGAATTCTCTCACTTTACCTACAATGTAGAATTGAAAGGAAGGGGTTGGCCGGAAGGAGCATGTTGGGACCAAATACTGTGACTTAACCAGAAAGCTGATCCCTCTCCCTGCTCCTCCTCCATGCTGCCCCTCCCATAAAGCGCCCCTCCCATTGCAGAGAATGGAAATGAAGGTGGAATTCCCGGATGACCGTTTCTAGGGCTGCTTTATTTTCGACAGGAGAAAATAAACTTCTTCTTGGTTTGCATGCAGGTCCTGGTAAATACTGCTTGCTGTGTTTTGATGCTGGTGGCTAAGCTAATCCAATGTATTGTGTTTGGTCCACTTCGAGTGAGCGAGAGACAGGTGAGTCAAGCACAAGGGGCACGGAGAGCTGATTCACGTGACCAGAACCCTCCACCCCTTTATTTGTTACAATCTCAACATGACCGAAAAGGTGCATGAATCGTTACACCAACTCTAACCAGATTCATCAGTAGGTAACAGTTTGTCCCATCTGCTTTTAAATTTTCATATGCTGCTTTTTTAGGTTTCATAAAGTTTTACCTCTAGATCCAAGGGGTCTTCAGAAAGTCCGTGGACAGATTCCAACGTCTTTGAATTCCATTTTCCCACAAACGTGTTGAAGCTTTCTTGTATGTCCGTTGCAGATACCATACTCTTTTCCCTCCAAATACAGATTCCCTTAAGAACAGTGACATTATCTTACATAACCGTAGACACTTCTCAGAATCAAGAAATGTAGTATTGTAATAATACTTTTATTCACCGTCCATAATCAGTGTAGCCAGCTGTCCCTGGCAATGTTGCTCCTTCTAGCTATTTTTCCATGAAGTTTATGCATATAGAATTGAATCGTTCTGATTTGTGTGATCATAAATATCACTCTTTAGAATATGGGTTCTTTTCCAGAATGATTGAGTAGCTTTTTTGTCTTCTCCCCCCAGCCCAGTCCCCTTCAGAAAAGTAGGTTAACAGTCATTGGCTTATCAGGGTAAATTAGGTGGCTTGCTCTGGTTTCAGGTGAGATTGGCCACAGAGTGAAGATATTATGTAGGGACATGTTCAGGAAAGCATTATGTTGCACACATATTCTACAGACTTATGCTTCCCCAAGGACTTGAGTGGAGAATGGTGTGACCGTTATTTGACACTGTCCCCTGACGAGACACAGATGCCATTAAAAGCAGGACAGCATAAACGTACAGCAGTGAAGTCACTGTTTTTGCAAAGAGCCGCAGTGTAGTCTTCCCTTACCTGCCCGTGAGCACCAACCGAACAAGACTCGTTTCCCCCGAGGTTTTCATTAGTGGGAAATTCAGCACTTCTCTTTAAATATCAGTGCTACAGGTCTGGGCTAGTAGAGCATAGTTTCTTCTTCCTCTTTTTTTTTTTTTTTTCCGTAGCTCTTTTTGATGCTTTTTTTTCTTGCAAGAAAAAGTTCTGATTTGTCAGCCAGAAACTGGTTGGACCCAGGCAGGCCATCGAATTGCTTGTGGACTGACTTGGCACCAGTGAGCTTTACATACTACTTTCTTTTCCTTAAAATGCCAATTGTTGGGTTCAGCTTTATAGAAAGTACAGCCATGGAGTCATTCAGAGGGTTCTAGACTATCAAGAGCAAACCATGTCTCGCATTCTTAATGCCTGTCTCTACTATTTTTTCAGGATAACTCGCATCTGTCAGGCTGTGGTGCATTGACTTCTATTAGGATTAATGTCATCCATTAGCACTTGTTAAGCATTTTGAGTTAGAACTCTATAGACTTGACATGGTTTTGCTCAATTCAAGTAATGCTAAAGGCTGAGACACAGATGCTCAACTGAACTGTAATCTTATAAGGTTCAGTGGAATGTAAATCAAAGGCATTTTTTTAAAAGCACTTAATGTACCACACACTTGTTTAAGCACTTTACACAGATTAACTTAGCCTCCCCAATAATCCTATGAGATGTACAAAGAAGCTTCAAAAAGTTTGTGGGAAAATTCCATTTGTGGATGAAAATTTGAAGCCCCCTTTTATTCTGTTAAGAGACCCACTTTGTAGCTGGGGAATCAAAGAGCAAGGATGCCCCAGCATCCCCAGTGCATAGGTGGCTAAGGTGGGATTCAGAACCAGTACACAGAGTGCCCCTGCGCCCGTCCTGTGTGAGACTGGGAGCAGACGTCACCCAGGCGGCGGCGTGCACTGAGGAGGATGGCTCCCAGAAAACGAGAACTTTACTTAGCAGACGACCTAAGTGCAACGCTGCTCTGCCTTTGGGGGAACAAGCTAGGGAATACTTTGATTTTCTTCACAGTTTTCATCTTACTCCCTGACCGTCCAAAGGGTGTATGGTCAGTGTTGTGTGTAGAAGTTCTTGAAGCAGTTCTCATCTCGAAGAGATCACGCTCTCAATTTCATACATATAATCATGTTCTATCAGTATTTGTTTGTCGTCACTTCCAGTCCCCCCCCCCCCATTTTATTTTTACTGTTGAATTTGTAAAATACTTCCGTGGTTCAAAATGACATAAAAAAGTAGACTCAAAGTTGTGTTGCTATCAGTACCCTTTTTGCCCACTTCCCAGCCGGCCCTACAAATGCTTGGACAGTATATTTCATATCTGGCAGGCGAGGCCCTTTATTGCCCTCTTTTGCTCTAGGGTTGGGGTGATTTAAAAACGAGGAGTCCTCCCTGTAGGAGTAGTGCAGGGGAGGTTTGCAGGTGCACTGGGGTCAGAGCACACACTTGCACGGCTACTGGGAAAGCTGATGGACAGTGTGGAAAAGCTGGGAAAATGTGTGTAACCTTTGATTCAGAACTGCTGACAAGCAGGAACTGGGAGGTACAAAGACATTCGTACAGTGTTTTCTGAGCGGTGGAGGAAACAGCGTCATTCTCCAAGCACAGCCATTACAATGGCACGTTCAGAGCATGTTCTCCCAGGGTGGTCAAGTTCTCACAGTGTGACAGGAAAAAGAAAGCAGTGTATGAAAATCAATGTGTTTTATTCATGTGACGAAACAAGGAAAAGGCCTAAAATGGTAAGGCATTTTACTTGAATTGGGGGTACTTTTTAATACTTTGGGCTAGCAAATGAGCATGTGTTATATTTTTAAATCTGAAGAGTGTTTTTAAAAAAATAAAAAGCCCAATCTAGATTAGAGAACAGAGTATAAAAATGATACTAGGAGCTCTTGCTGTTCTTTTCTAACCTGTGTTGAACATTTGAGGGATTTTCATTTCTTAATATGCCCCCCCCTTCTTTTTACTTTAAAACTGTTTTTATAGCACATTGGTTCAGCCACTCAAAATACAGCACACAGCATAATGAAGCCCCACTGTCAGGCTTCATCAACTCCTGTCATTTTGCCTTATTTGCTTCATGTTTTTAAAGTGGAAATGAGTATAGCCAGGCACGCACTGAATTGATGGCAATTCATGGTGACCTCAAGCTCCGCAGATAAAACTGTGCCCCTCATGGCCACTGCTCTTCTTAATCAGAAATGAAGGGTGGCAGAGGAGGGGTCGCTGATCCTGAGACTGGTTCAGGCTTACCATCCGCAGCCTCCAGACACAGTCTCGCATCCCGGGAGGGCTCGTGTCTGTTTCCTGGGGAAACCTGTTAGAAAGCCAGGGCAAGAATCCGTCCTCCGCAGAAACCAGCCTGTGCCTGCTAGCCCCTCTGAGCTGGGTTGGTTGTCATGGTAGCACCGTTGCTGACGTTTCCTTTTTTTCTCTTTAGCACCTCAAAGACAAGTTTTGGAATTTTATCTTCTACAAGTTCATTTTCATTTTTGGCGTGCTGAATGTCCAGACCGTGGAGGAGGTGGTCATGTGGTGCCTCTGGTTTGCTGGCCTGGTCTTTCTGCATCTGATGGTTCAGCTCTGCAAGGACCGATTTGAATATGTGAGTTCTCCCCGGCTCTGCTTGCCGAGCAGCGTGGGCTCCAGGTCTGGGCCCTCTGTGTTGGAGGAATGAGCCTCACAGGCCTGCCGGCGGCCTCCTGGGTCAGGTTCCTGTTTCCCCGAGAGCCTTGCCACCGCAGATCAAGGATTCAAGACGCTGTCTTCTGGAGCCCCCCTCCCCCACCCCAGGGGTAATATGTTACAGCCCCAGAGGGTCAGCCTGTGGGACCACGCTGTGTCAGTCCTGGTGCTAGGAAGTCTGTCCACACAAGGGAGCTTCCAAAGAGTCATGGAAAAAGCCCATTCTCCTTTAATTCCCCCTTTCCATCTACTGTTTTTGAAGCCCCTCATACACATAGCATGAGAACTGGTCTCTAGAAATTTTTTTCTGTTCTTCCGCGCATGTGTGTGTGTGTGTGTGTGTGTGTGTCTCCATCTCCGACTCCTCCATTTGATTCTTGGAATTCGTTCTGGCTGGTTTACACTGTGTCCACCCTAACTGGGCCAGGATCGAATGAATTCTTGAAGCTTCTTCCATGCTTGGGGGGAGCAGAATCATATTCTGCCCCAGTCCAAGGCTCCCCTGTCAGCGAATCAGGACCACCGGAGCAGTGAGCCCTCCCGCCGCCTGCTCCTGACCTCATCTCTCCGGGCTCCCGGTAGTTGTACCTATAGCGCTGCACCGGTGAGAGCGAGGCCAGAGCCTTGCCGACCCTTTCCTTGCCCTGTCCTCGTGTCCCAGGTGGCTCTAGCACCTCTGTGAGTTAATCTTGCCCTCTAATCTAAGCTCTCTCACAATCCAACCCTTATCCCTTGTCACCCACTGAAGTTTTTAACCTCCCACACTGGTTTGCCAATCTTCACTCACTTCCTCAGGATTCACAGCTCCAGGCCTGCTTTTCTAAGCTGTTGCTTAACACAAGGTTGCATCGAGAAAATCTGCACCAGAATTACATTTGGGTTGTTCTGGCCCTGGACCATCCCAGGGAATGTGGGGGAGGGACGCCAGAACCAGACTGAGCGAAGGGAAAAGGATGTGCTGTGTTCCAGGAGTGTGTGAGTCTGGATGGACTAGAGAAACAAAGCCAGGGAGACACTCATATGTGTACAAGAAAGAGCTTTATATCAAAGGGTAATTGTATGTTCAGAACGCATCCCAGCCCCATCCAGATAACATCCGTAAGTCCAATTATTAGCCCATATGCCCTATACCAGTCCATAAATTCCTCTTCAGACTCACACACACATGCAATGATGCTGAATGCAGGAAGATCACAGGCCAGTGGGTGGGAAGTCTTGTGGATCCAGTGGCGGTGGAAGCATCTCAGCACTGGCAGGGGTCTTACCTGGCTCCTCCAGCTCCAGGGCTCTAATGTAGCTGCATGTATCTTGTCAACAGGAATGTCTTGCAGGGAATGAGCTTATCTGGCTTCCAATGAGATATTTATCACTGTTGCACTTCCAAATGAGGTCATCAAGCTGGGACCTGATTGACAGGCTAGATTTCACCCCTTCCTCAAGCTGACAGATTATGTGACTACCACAAAGAGAGACCTGTGTACTGAGACAGTTCCCCCTCCGAGTGTCCCAGGAGAGACCTGTCCACTGTGAGGCATTTGCCCTAGTTTCTGATCCAGGAGCAGCAGGAGCCTTGAGAGTAGGAGATGGAAATCTGCATATTTTTTTCTATTTCTTACATTGCAAGGATCTCTAAGCATCAGCTCATTCTCAGATGTGGGTAGGTTGTGTGCCATTCAGCTAGCGCTGGGTTGTCGTCCTCTGGGTACCAGGAAGTCCCACCCATGTGGCACTTACGATTAAGGAGCTAGAGATAAGCCACACTCACACACTTACTTACTGCCAGAGAACTAAATGAACGTTTTATGTGTGCATAGAGACCCTTCAAAGGCATGGAGGCCCTCCTCGGGCGGTGAGGCTCTGAGAATGAGAACTAAGCAGGTCCCTCCTAGGGGGCTGAGGCGGGAGCACTTCTTGGTTTCGGGGGGCCGAGGCAAGGGGATGGAGAGCACAGTGCTGCAGATGGCCGGGCAGTCTCCTCTGTAGTCGCTCAGTCCGTCCCTGGGTCCCTGCATGTTTTCTTGCACATGTGCCGCAGGCTGCAGCTCCGTGTCAGATGTTTCAGGTTTCCCTCAGGCTGCAGTTCGGTGTCAGGATGCTCACCCGGTGTTCCCCAGGACCTGACCCGAAGGCCAAGATGCTAACCAGGCCTATTCCCTCTGGGTCTGTTGGTCCCTTAGCAGCAGAAGTCCCTGTCCAGCCCGTCAGGTTGGAAGGTTAGGGCCCGGATGGTAACGGAGTGCCCTTAAGGTTAGCCCAGAACCCCAGAGCCGGGAGCCGGCATGGCCTTGCGGAGCGTGACGTTTGCGTGCTTCCTTGTTTTGCCTCTTTCAGCTTTCCTTCTCGCCCACAACCCCGATGAGCAGCCACGGCCGAGTCCTGTCCCTGCTGATGGCCATGCTGCTCGCGTGCTGCGGGCTCGCGGTCGTCTGCTGCGTCACCGGCCACACGCACGGCGTGCACACGCTGGCCTTCATGGCCGCCGAGGTGAGGCGGGCCTGGGTCTGGCAGCAGGCACTCTGCAGATTACGGCAGGCGCTTCCGCCCAGGCGAGGTACTCAGTCTGCGATAGTGCGGAATCGCTATTTTTGGCATCCGTTCTCGATGCCCGGCATGATTGTACGTACCGCACATGCGTGGCCCTTATCTCACTCCATGTTCGCACGGAGGAACTGAGGCAGGAAAGATGGGATGCATGACTAAGGCTTCCCCCGTGGCACGTGGTGCCATGCCCGCCCTCATCCTCTGACACCAGCACAGGGGACGGAGACCCCTGGGCACCGACGCTGGTTTGTTGATTGATGCTACAATCAGCTGTAACCTTTGTTGTTTTTTTGAGATAGGGCATACATTGAAGTTTAAGAGAACATAATAAATACCTAAATATAAAGAATATACTTGTTATTTTTGAAAGGAAAATCAGATAATTCACAAATATTTTAAAATTCAAGAAAAAAATGCTTTCTAAAATCTTTTCAAAAATACAGATTTCTTTTTAGTAGCAGTGAATACTATGTTCATTGGCTGTATTTTTTTTTCTCATAGCCAAAGGAAAGATACCTTTGTATTATCCATAATTAATATTATTAATGAAACAATGAAATATTCATTATGCTAATTCTTATTTAAAACATTAGTTTCAACTGCTAATTGGGAATTTGCCAACACAGGACTAAGTTTTATTTTTTGTTTAAGTGTTCATTTCGGAGTTGAATGTAGTAGTAGTAGTACAAGTCAAATCAGAAAGGGAACATTTAAATGCTTATCACAAGCATTTGTAATCTTGATTGAACACTTTTCTTTATACAAAAGGTATATAAATATATCTCCTCTTTTACAGTCTTGCTTTCAATGATATTTATTCAGTTCGTGTTTTCAAAAGCTCACGCCTAGTGAGTCTGTTTCTGCCCCCCGTGACTCGATGAGCAAGGTGGAGCTGCCCCGCGTTTTCTGAGGCTGAGACTCGACTCGGGAGCCCCATCTTTCCCCGTGGGGGCTCAGCAGTCCAGTGGGACCCAGCAGCCCCACCAGAGCTCCAGACTCCCTCCGCTCGTGTCGGAGGTCTAGGGTGACAGCTGTCTGTCTTAGGTGGTCAAGCGTGGTGACTCACTGCTGTGGAACACAGAGGTGGTTGTCAAGCTACCAGGAAGAATCCCACGATTGTCGAACACATTCTGAAGAGATGGACGGGAATCGGTGGGGGTTGCTTAGTAACAGGAAAACGCTCAATGAGAGTGGGGTTTTTCGGTTTTGAAAATAGTCCATGGAAGTTTGAAGCAGAGGAAATTGAATGATTGGTGACTCAATCTACTTTTAGTTACGTGAAGTGAAAATTTTTGTCTTCTATCATTTTACAAAAGTAAGATTGGCCTGAGAAATCCTAAGTTTTAATACAAATAAAGTGAAATTGTCTTCTTTTTAAACAGTCTCTTCTTGTGACAGTGAGGACCGCGCATGTGATTTTACGGTGAGTAGAGTGCAGGGCGGGGTGACTGAGAGCTGATGTCACGGTGTGACGTATGGCAGGGAGCAGGAGAAATAGGCAAGAACTCCGCTTCTTAACCCGTCCACACGTACTGACTGCGTGAGAGAAGAGAGCTCTCTGAGGCAATTGTCCTGAGCTGCTGTGAGGGGAACCAGCCCTAACGCATCAGCACAGGTCCGGTAGGCGCAAGTGTACAGCGATAATAAATAAAGATTGTAGTAAAGTCACAGAGAGCATGAGAGATAGAAGAGAGGTTGAAATAATGGAGTCAGACACATTTCATGGTAGCAGTGCGCACCTCAGCCTCACTTGGTGGTCCATGTGGAGAGAGAGAGAGATTTATTACTAACCATGGCTTTTATATTCTCTGGGGACGTGCAAGCCCCCTAATTACAGGTGAAGACATACGTCACAGGAAAGGGTATCCTATAGGTAATACAGTAATGGGAGGGGGTGATCTGGTGGTTCATATGCTACTGGAGGAGGAGGGAATAAGGGTATACATGTGACTAGATTCAGGATGGCAGCCTAACTTTGGATGTCACTGAGCAGGTTTGACCTGTTCTCTGGAACCACTATAGAAACCATTCTCAGTAGGGTGTAAACCTCATCTGCTGAACTGAAATGGTTGCTTGAGGTCACCCTCAAGCTCAATAGCAGGTTGGCTTACCAAATGAAGAGTGTCATAAAGGAGTAAAGAGCTCCTTTAAAGCCACCTGTATGAGACCACCTGGTCACAACATCCTCAGAAGCCAAGGGGAGACAGTGAGGGGACCGGGAAGTTAGAGTGTAGGTACGGCCAGAAACGGCGTGGATGTGAGTCATGGTGCACTGTGACTATGAATCACTGTCATCTAAAGCTCTGTGTAGAAAGTTCACATGGGAACCTGACTAGCTGTGGAAACATTCACCTTAATCACAATAAAGTCTCTTTTTGGAAAAAAACATACACATACAATATATCAAAATCAGATGATCCTGTATCATGCTCACACCAAATTCAGTTGTCAGGAATGATGAACGTGCTGTTTGCTATTCATTGCAGATACGTCATTCACCTGTGGGACCTCAACCACGAAGGGACGTGGGAAGGAAAGGGGACCTGTGTGTACTACACAGACTTTGTCATGGAGCTCACGCTCTTGTCCCTGGACCTCATGCACCATATTCACATGTTGGTGAGTTCTCTCCCCAGCTCCCTGCTCAGGAGCGGGGACTCTGGGTGGGGTGTTCATAAAGGAAGCATTCGCACCGAGGCCTGCGTCAGCCCACAGAAGGCTGTGAAACGGAGTGCAGCCGCGCCCTTCCTCCTGCCTGGGGGAAGGCAGTGTCTAGAGCAGCGGTTCTCAACCTGACGGTCACGACCCCTTTGGGGGTCAAATGGCCCTTTCACAGGAGTGGCCTAATACATCCTGCATGTCAGAACCGTAGCAAACTGACAGTTATGGAGTAGCAATGAAAATAATTTTATGGTTGGGCGGGTCACCACAACATGAGGGACTGTATTAAAGGGTCGTGGCATCAGGAAGGTTGAGAACCACTGATCTACAGCCATTTTAACTGGTGCCCATCCCTGGAGGTATGTCCACCCTCCTGGGCTTACGGTAACCTCAGCTGCCCCAGGTCAAGAGGTAGTTACTTTAGCACGAATCATTATATATAATAAGTATAATATATTTAATAAATAGTTACTGTATGGCAAATATAAATAGATAACAAATATTTACGACGGGGCTTTTAAAAGTTCATGAAAAATATCCGTTATCTTTTTTGTTGTTGTTTTATTTTTAATTTATTTTTTAAACAGTTTCATTGGCACATCATCCACATGTCATACAATACAGGAGTTCAGTCATATCCAGAAGAGTTGTACAGTCATTACCACATCAACTTTAGAGCATTTTCTTCTTTTAGTACATTATCTTTTGATTCCATTTTCCATGAATTTTTTGAAGCTCCCTCATTTATGTACAAGAAATATAACATCATATAATAAATGTTTATTATACAAAAAGTATACTATAAAGTATTATACAAATAATAAGTCAAATATAATTTGCATAATATAAATGATATTCATTATATATGAAATAAGCTAAGAGTAAGTATATTATGCAAACAGCTACTCGTATAATATCAATAATGAATTTTACATATGATAACTATATAATTAATGATGCTTTAATATTCTGTGAGTTACATTTCCACCCGCTGGGCATTTTGTATTATGATTAGGGAGGCTTTTCGTGTATATTGGGCTCATTCCCTGGGCTCACAGAGTCCTGTGTCTTTTGACTAACACGTAACGCCACGTCCACCACTGCTATTGTCACTCCCTCGAGTGTCACTCCCTCGTTGCCTTTGTCCCATCGTTGGAGTGAGATGCCGTGTGCAGAGTTTGTGAATGTCTGCAAAGACGGCTGCTAACGGACTGCCGTCACCATCATGCACATTGTTTAAGACCATGCGCCAGAGATTTGCATTTGCTTTCTGAAAAACCACTTCGCCGCTGCTGCCATTACCAGCGATTCAGAACTGTGTGCACACCACGCCCCTTTTACTCGCAAGGTCTCGGTTTGTCTTTATGGTGCATTCTCTTCTCTGTCCCATCTTAAAGCTGTTTGGCAACATCTGGCTGTCCATGGCCAGCTTGGTGATCTTCATGCAGCTGCGCTACCTCTTTCACGAGGTCCAGCGTCGAATCCGTCGGCACAAGAACTACTTGCGTGTGGTTGGGAACATGGAGGCCAGGTAAGTAGAAGCATGCTAGCTCTTCCCAAGGTGGCTGACGGTAGCTGTGTTCCTAGCAGTCTCTGATGTGCTCAGCACTGCCCTTGTAGCTGTTAGGAGGTGGGGACAGCACAGGCTCCGAGGCGGACTCCCTGCAGGTGAAGTTGCCCTCGCTCTGCTCCCCAGTTACGTCATCTCGGAAGTAAGGCTGACAAGGGAGCCTTCTTCTGAGGGCTGTGGGAGGAGCACACAGCTGCGTGTACTGTGCTCACAATGATCTGGGCATGTAAAGACCCTGGAGAAATAGTCGTTCTCTTTTACTATGCTTTTTATCATCACTTCCTTGGGCTTCTGACCTCTTTAATTTGTGAAGAAGGGACTTGTTTATTTCCTACATGTGGACAACCCCCCCCACCCCCACCCACCCCCAGCCCTCAGAAGCCTCTCGTTAGCCAGCCTAAGGCTAAGGCCTGAAGGAGTAGGATTCATGTGTGTCCTGCTGATGTCCAGGCCCCTGGGGGGATTGCTCCTCTCTTTTGCCCATAAACATTTCCCGGAGGCCTTGATAGCAGGAGTCCTTGTAGATAACAGGACACACAGTTCTCCAGCTTGCACTGCTGCGTGGAGAAAGCAAGCGGTGGGGGGGGG